AATCGTAATATTGAAAAAATTGGTGGGTGGAAAGGTGTTCCAAAAACTACCTTCTGAAAATTATTATTATTTTTTTTTTGGGGTGTCGCCCGTATATATACTTACATTATAATATCATTATTCTAGCGGTTTCGAATTCATGGTGCAAAGGTGGCGAAAATGACGAATAAGAAACGTCGACGCCGTGGCCGTAATAGCATTTTTCGTATACCCCGCTGAGAAATCAATACTTCGTTTGCGTATATATAAATATATAAATATATGACGCGTATTAAGTATAATATATTTATTTTTTCCATCGCTTTAATGGCGAATAAATATTTACACTGTACAAAAGATGCCGGCAGTATAGTATTTCTAATTTAAATAATTTGGTTATAAACATTAAGGTAATAACACTGTACATAATAATGCGACTATAATATTATACGAACACATTATTAGGTGCATTATATCGTAGGTAGATACTTCGTACTTACCTACTTGGAAAATGCTGAATGAATGATTATTTTGAAAGGTCCGTGTATGACGAAGACGAATTATTAATCCAAGAATATCGAGTTAGTATAGAGCACGAAGTCATCATAATACGTTAGTTAAGTCTCATGATAAAAATAAAAATAAAAATTAGAAAATACTGTAGTGGCCGGTTAAACAGAGACTTTCGAACGGTTGTCTAAGCACGTTTTTTTCAAATTCCCACGAGAACGTCCCAATCACAACAAAACATAATAACGACTGATAAAAATAATAATGATAATAATCGAAATGCGTATCCGTACGGCGACGGGTCTTTTAACTGTTCAGGTTTTTTTTTTACAAGCTTAAGACGAGGCATACTCATAGTGGACGAAGGGTGGTGGCTCGTTTACGACCAAAACGACAAGCAAGCAATATTGTCGCTTTTATACTCACGTTTTTGTATGTACGACGGTTGTTGCCACAGGAAGTCGTAATCTTGCAAAGTCGTATTTACACACGCGTCAGGCAGAATGTTTCCGGCAGTGTGGAAAATAAACGCATATAACCGATCGCGTAAAAATATAATATCATAATATTATGTGTATGTATTAACACTCACTATATATGAACATTGACTCCTTGGTGGTCTGCGAACCGGAAGTCATATTCTACAGTGGTATTGATATTATGTTTCCGGTTGATCACGAAAACGGTAGTGGATGAAACGCGGATCCTGAATTCACTGACAATAACGATCTAAATCCATGGCCGAATAAAATCCCCTGGTCTAACTTATCAGCCCTAACCTAACGATTTCTATAGGTAAAGATTTTATGTCTAAACCATTGAGAAACGCTCCCACCTCATTTCATAACTTGGCATAGAACTATTTCCCACCCTAACACTGGTTTTACAACCTTAATCTTCTTAGGAAATGCATAATATAATCTCGTTCTGCAGTCTCCGATTCGGCCACACCTTACATCGGTTTTATTTCCTGCTTACACTTTCGTTGAATGCTCACCACCCTAGCTAACATTCCAAGGCAACCCCTCGAACTTTGAAACCCCTGTAAAATTGACACCACAACTGCACTATAAATGTTCCTTTTTAAATACCCCTTCAATGTTGAAAATATTTTTCCCTCCAAACTAAAGAGTATAATAATAATATACTACTTATTTTTACCAATCTTCAAGTATACCTACAGGTTTAATCATATAATTTTTTTATTAATTATTCATGTTTAAATAGATGGATAAAGAACTTGAGTAGCTTAAAAAAATGTAATTTAAAAAAAAAATATGAAGTAATAAAAATGATTGAACATTCAAAATATTTGTATATGCTTTATTTTTAACGATGAGACGTGAGTTGGTTACATTCATTATAACTTATAACTATTGTTCGATAATTATTTTTATTTTTATTTTATAGTCTTGCATTTATATAAAATAAAACTTATAAAAATGTCTTTAGTATTTTAAATTTTAAATTACAGTATTATACAGTTTTATTGCAGTTTAAATTTTACAGAATCATACATAAATACATAATAATATATTAAAGTAATATAAAAAAAAATATTATTTATATTATTATTAATATTCTATTATCACTATATAACATATAATATTAATTTTTGAACGTATTTGTAATTAAATATCAATAATGTGGTAATTAATAATTATAGATACTAATTAAAGTTTAAAAAATATTTGTTTAACCATTTTCATAATATTTATTTATTTATTTTTTTTAAATTTTTTTTTCATATTATGGTTGTGACTTTTTGAGTAATATTATAGTCTGGGAATTTTTTTTCCGATTACCAATAACTTGTTACCTACTAAAATACTTACCTATATCATGTGTCCAAAGAAACACAACGTGCACTTTATCACTCATTGCCCTGTAAATAATTTTCAATTTTGTTTGAGGGACATTCAACTATAGACTAATGGATCATACAGTTTTATGACTCAAAATTTTTTTTAAATCAAGTCTTTTGCGCATTCGCAACACAACTTCATTTTCTTTAACGTCAATTCCTAGTTTGAATATCATTTTTGGCTTGATCTTTTTTTTTCAAGTAATTTTGATCTATCAATACTCGCATTCTTAAAATAAAAATGGCTGTTAGGGCTTGGTATAATTTAAAAAAAAAAAAGTCAACTACCTATCAAAATTTGACTTTTTTTATTAAATAGTACGTATTTTTTCCAAACACCGTGATTATGGATAATAATAAAATAAAATACTCATTCATAAAAAGTAATTAATTTATTACTTTAATCATAACAAATTTTATTGTATCATGAAATACGTACATAAAAAATACGAACGGTTAAAAAAAAAACAAATTTAGATAATTTATTAATTAGCAGCTAGTAGTCTTAATTAAAACGTGATCGCTACTCATTATGAATTACTATACAGTTACGGTGTTACCGTCTTACATTATAGTATATTATCATACAGCTCCATGGTTGTCATGACGGTGACCAAAATTTAAGACAACTTCACAGATTGTTGATCATAAATAATTATTACACTTAACGTGAAAAATAAGTTAAATATATGTGTAGTTATTATGCAATATTATAATCATTGTATTACTATTATTAAATAATTATTACTACGTACAAATTAAGTAGTGTTATACGGTGTTATACCGTATTATATCCATCGACCATCAGATAATATAGATTTCCAATATTATCATTGTTAATTTGCAATCAAATTCAAAACCAGTTTTTTTTTTTATAACGGTAGCAAATTGTTCGTGCCGCGTGGAACAAGTATTACCAAATACATACCTTCAGTCCTCTCCACACGAAATTTGGCCGGTGGCCCCTGTGAACCACCCGCCATAGGCCGGCCGTTAGTCATGGGTTCTCAAATTGCACCGCGCTCCTGCGATATTTACTCAATAGGCGCACGGCATGTGTTTTTATGTGATGCGGTTCCTTTTTCAATTTAACAATTAAAGTATCCATCCTAGTATTTCGATTCAGCTATACAGCTGGAATGTATTTTGGAGGGATCGTACCACGTAGTGTATACGGCTGTTGATTGTGTGCATTATGCTACAAACAGTGCCAATGTTTTTGAAATCGCTTTCGTGAACAATTCGTGTGTGAACACTCTTGTGTTTGAATGAATGTATGTTCTTCGATTTATTTTGAATGTATTTTAAGAATAGCGATACACGCAGCCAGAGTAAACAAATTGTTTGTAGCGCTTACACATTTTTAAAGCCACTGCCATTAAAACCGGACTTAACTGGCGATTTCTTTAAAAATACTTGTACCACTGAAGCTTGTGGATTGTCAGTGCGCACTGCCAGGCGTATTTGCTCTGAAGCAAAACATTCAAAATGATAATCCTGACGAAGCAAAGTCAGTTGTGGCATTCAAGTCTCCACGCAAAGGCTTACAAACGGGCGAAAAATGCATCAGAGATCGATGGTTTTGATTCGGATGGTTAGGTAAAGAAGAACTGTGTACGAGTTATAGTTAAAGCCATTACAATACAAGTGTGACACTTGAATAGTAATGTTATTACTTACTATCGTCCATTCAAATTGAGATTGAACCGTTTTCGCGCACGTAGACTGCGGTGTTGTTCACCGTCTGGCCCCCGGGCGAACGGTATGCGATCTCTCATTGGTCGACAGTCATCGGCGGCAGTCCATTGTTCATCGGTACTCGTCGTCGTCGGTGCTACCGCCGTGTACACGGACAGAATCGTCAAAACATCATGGTCCGGGTGTATCGGTGTTGAACGGTTAACATTTTATTACAACACGTCTTCTTTTAATGCCTGATCAGACTGAAATAAAATGTATCAAATACCCAAGCGTAATATTATACTTAAACATTATGACGTGAAGGTCAATGCTTTTTTGGGTACCTACCTAGTACCTACTATTATACCCGTCTACTCGCAGCAGTAGGTTACACCTACTATTGTTATTTTTTTGCTGTATACATTGTGAATTGAGATCGATAAATACTATAATAGTAGCACAGAACAAATCTTAAGGCTCAACGAAATACCGTCCGACATTTCTGAATTTTAAACGTGCTGCCACATACCGAGAAATTCCATTTTTTTTAAGTTTTCTGTGGTTTATAGCTACACTGTTAGTCGGCAATTCCACTCATAACAACAACAACACATGGCCAACCATAGATAACATAGATTATAAATCGGTTTGATTCACGATTATAGATAGTACTATCTATAATCGTGGTTTGATTATTTGAATATAACAATATATTAAAAATTTGAACGAACAGTGTGGCACGATATAAAGAAAAAAAGGGAAATTCCCGGTACGTGGCAGCACGTTTAAAATCTAGAAATGTCGGACGTAGTTTTATCATCTCCCATAAGAGCCCATGTTAAATGAAATAAGATTCCGTTCTTTTGTTCTGTGATAGTAGCTATACCTACTAAGAACCTTACACGATATTGAATAACAAGAAAATATATTGTAAATAATATTATTTTTTTTATTGCTTCTATAAATATTATCAAATTAAATTAGAGCATTCATATACAAAAAAAAAAAATTTAAAAATACACATAATATAAATAAAAAAAATTAGTCAGATGCAATGCTGGATTCGTCTGATGATGTATCTCCGATTGGTGTCGTTACAGATTCTACCTCTTCTTCTAATAAGTCATCAATAATGAAATCAATTTTCCAAAATTTGTCTTCCTCTGCCCTCGCTTGACGAATAAAATCTTTCCACTTGTTTGAATCCACACTTTCGATACTCTCGGTTAATAATTGTTTGATATCGGTTAATTCATTCGTTGTATTGTTCATATTTACATGGTTTTTAACCGATGACCAAGCCAATATAATTGGGTTAAGCTCACAATGATTCGGCGGCAGTCTTAGTATAATACAATCATGTTCTTCTGCTAGTTGGTCAATTACGTACTTTTCGGGATACGGCTTTATCCTTTTCACTATATGAAGGAGTTCTGCGATAACCATAGAGCTGTCTATAACTTCATTCTTATCCTCCAACCACTTGATAATATTGGCTTTCTCGGTTTTGTACGTAGGTGCTTTGTCAATTTTTTCTGAATGACATGAGGCATTGTCCATGATTATGACACATTTTTTTTTTAATTTAGGTAATACACTCTCCATCCATTTGTAAAATGTTTCACGACTAATTTCACTTTGAAAATCTCTAGTATTTTTTTTTGACTTAAAACATAATAATGCACCTGGGACAAAGCCGTCTTCAGAGCCAATATTAAGGGCTATAAAGCGTTTATCTTTTTCCGATGGATCAACAGCACTGGTTGTTTGACCTTTTACAATTGCGTCCCCTGGTGATTTTATTGTGCATTCTCCAGAATGTACGCAGGTTTCATCCAGGTAGTATAAATGTCGACCTTCTTTTCGATATTTTCGTAAATCCTCAAGAAACCGTCTACGCCACACCACTATTTTATTTTTTTCCGTCAGTGCACCATTTACGCTTCGTTTGCTGTACTTAAAACCCATATTTTTTAAAAGACGAAAAAGACCGGTCCGTGAGATAGGTGGTAAAGACTCGTCGTTAGAAACCACTTGATGTATTTTGTCAACTGTCGGAATTTCTCGCTTTAGCCAAAAACTGTGCACATATCTACGAACTACATTTCTTTCGAACTCTTCAAATATAATGCGTGAGGGCATCCTAACCCGTGTTCTATTTGGTGATACCACAGTTTTCGAACGGTTGTATAGCGTGATTGTTTTGGAAACTGTTGTTACACCAATGCCTAATTCTTTAGATATCTCTTGCCGGAGTGATCTCATCGTCTTTTCTGGATCTGACTCCAATTTGGATTTGTACGCATTAACTATCAATAGTCTTTTTCCAGAATCCACTCGCTGAAAATAAAACAATGTTTTATTACAAATACGGCATATTATAAAAAATATTCTACAAAAACCTACGCCTATTATGAATCCAAGGAAATAAATAAAATAATAATAACGAAGGAATTTTTTTGTATGAGGGGGGGGGAGGGAGTTCTTTCCTGGATTTTTTTCAATCACTTACCAATTATTGTCAACTTTGTTTAGTAATTAATTAATGCCTTTTTTAATATTTTATATAATGTTATGAAATTAACTACAAAATAAATTTTTTACTAACCTTTCCTCTAGCATTTTTTTTTATTGGAGACCTGGAGCGGCTGGATTCTACTGCTTGTTGTTTGTCCATGATAATAATTGGTTACAAAAAGTACACACAAATAATATAAACAATTTTCAAAGGAAAAATATTATAAAATTCAAATAAACGTATTATATTATAATAAAACAATACGGAATGTAAACAAAACTGTAATCGTGAGATAAAGATTGTACGAATGAACACGGTGAGATGGTGAGATGTGAGAACGTGTATCAGCACAGGCGCACGGCATTAACATGACTACCAACGCATTGTCGTATACTGCAGCTGCAGTTTCGTGGCGTTCGATACTAACGCTCGCAGTGGAGGCCGTATATTGGTGGGGATGCGCGGAAGCGACGAGTTTTGGTCGACCGACCGGTTCAATCTATTGTACACTGTACAATACAAAAATGTATAGGTATGTGCATATAAAGTAATATAATGCAGTCAATAATAATATATTTTGTATTATAATATGTCTTACCTGACTCGCAGCCGTCTCTGGGTTATGCTGTAGGATTTTTAGGTGACACAAATTAATTACTCAAAATGCTCGAATCAAAATATTATGACCCGTTGATTATTGCTCGTCATAAGGAGTCCAGTTGTCGCTCGTAGAATTCGGTATAGAGAGGTTGTTTGGTGGTGCGCATGCACTCGATAAAGGTGCTCATGCATTCGTGAAGGGTTGTTATACTAGGGAGAGGTGCTCATGCACTGATGAGAGGTAACGACGTGGTCGAGCCAGTCAGATTCGCTGGCGATGGCGGTCCCATCAAAGGCCTCCGCGTTTCTAAAGCTTTACCGTTATCTTTAGTGACGGAGACCCTGATTGGACCATCCTTTGTCTCTCGCCTTGCAAGAAACAGTTCACACAGGATAACTATGTGTGAGTTTCTGTGTGACCAAATAACGCAACTCGTTGCTTTCATGAGTGATCAATATTATTTATTGAATTTTTAACGGTTCTCTGCGTGCGACCACTTGACCGTTGTTTATTTTATTGAATAAAGCAATATAATATACAATATGATATGTGAGCATATCATTACATCATATTATTAATGATTGTTAGTGTTACCTAGGTACTCAATTGTCTCAATTTACTCTTACTCTTATAGTGCTGTGTATTATTGCGTCCGATTGGTGTAAATTATTGTAATTTTATTTTTACCTGATAGGTGGTATCTATTGCTATTATTTAAATAATTAAATAAGGTTAAATATTGAGGTTTGCGCTTTTTGTAGTTTTGTATGATCAGTTATTGCTAAATTATTATTTCATTACTGTTATTTGAAACTAAATAGGTACACAATTTATTTATGAAGTAAATAACTTATAAAATTATTATTGAATTAATTTAATATTCTGATTTAAGAGACGACAGGAGGTTGATGGCACAATAATATTGGTGTAGAGTTCTGCAATATTAAACATATTGGAGTATCGAAAACGAACTTAAGTATGTAAGTTGACATAGGTATTGACTATTGCAGTGTATTGAGAATAGTTTTTAGTGTTTTAATACGCTACAAGTCGTTTTCTTACTTTCTGATTTGTATATTTTTAGGTGATAACAGCAGTTTATAATACTTTTAAACAAGATGTATTTTTCGTTGTTATTTTGATACGTAGTTTAGTTTAAAAAAAAATGCTAGATGCAAATGTCCGTATTTGTTCTGTTAAATCCGGTGGCAAGCTGACTGTCACCGTTTGAGGTCAGAGGCATAGAACTTGACAAATATATTATAATATGACATTTTTTTTCATACAATCTTCGGAGGTCTGTTATATTTTTAGCATACCTACGTTTTTAGATTCGTCAAACACATTTCGATCAAATTTCCATGACGTTTCGATTTGGCGAATTGACAACCCAATTCTAAAGAGTACTTATTACTTAAAGACGTTTCCAGAGAGTCCAAAACAAATATTTCCTCTTTCCACCGAATACACGATTAGTAAATAATTTGGCAGTGAATACATACTGCGTATACATTTGCAATGTATTATTATACTATAGTAAATCCCAACTGATTATCGATCGCTTGCTTTAATGTTAACATATTATAAATTATAATATAATAATATATTATGTGACAGTGACGTTATATTATTATCAAAGTACATATTATTATTATTATGTATTGTATTAATACGACACATTGGCTTGGCTATAGTGATTAGCAAAAATAACCGCGCAGACAACTTTAAAGCCGCCACAGAATCGATAAGCGTGCTACACACTCCAACGGAAATTTCAATTTTTTTTCCCATACCCATAAAAACGGTTTCAGGAAGTGTCATGTGTGTATGTATATAGTGCACAAATATTTGCAAGCTTGCGTTTATCGTCCGTTTTTATTTATTTGTTCTTTTTTTCGCCGAGACCGTACGACGCGGAATTAAAACAAATAATAATAAATTATAACGAGGTCCGTTTGGCAAAACCCTATTACAGAAATCGCATTATTTCACCCGGTATACGCTGTTCGGTATATTGCGTGGTTTTATTTCTCATTTTTACTCCGATCATATTATTTATCAGCGAACGCACGACAGTCGACAATATTAATAATAAACACACGTGTTTTGGAACGAGTACAAGTATTACAACAGCAATGATACCGACCCGACGAACGAATAACGTTTAATTTAAGACATCGTGCTGGCGGCGATCTCGTATTATACCTAGGTACACGGTCGTAAACTTTGTGGGGAAAAAAAAAGAAAAACAATCGACGAAATCTATATAAAAACTACAACGACGACGTAACTTTCAAAGTAAAAAAAAATTTAGAACTATCGAAATATTTCAGTCACCGCTCACCGCTAGTAGGGTAGTATAAAAGTGATAGGAGTCGCATCGGGAGGGCGAATTGAATCCGATGCACGTGTGTGTTGTGAGTGATTTTATTTGTCCCAAAGTGTTATTAAGTTTTCCGTTTTAGTGCGATCATTTCGCGAAGTAAAACAGATTTCAAACCGTTGTCGTCTGAAAAAAAAAATTACAATAAATAATATTATTTCGATATCAATACATTTCTAGTTTCTACTTTCATGTAAAAAAAATATGTATATTTCGTTCTCGTTTTATTCAATTGCACATTATTTTTCACTTTCAAAATCCTATTCCGGCAAAATATATAGATACCTGCTCGAGAAATATTGTATAGTTTTACATATTTGTCGTCACGATCTACACCATTGTTGAGTTTAAATTGAAAATTACATTTAATCGTTTACGTCGATAATAATACTATTGCAACGATAATATACTATTTCGTTCAGACACGATACCGGACGAAACAATATAAAATATATATTTTTTTTAAAAACAAATCCTGAAAGCGTTATCTTATCTCTGACTTATGTTTGTTAAACGATATCAAATAGCACGAGAACAAACTATGAGACGTTTTTCGTGACGATTCTAGTAATATTCGAATTCATTGCATAATGAAAATTGGAGCTCACGTTGATTATATCTTGGAAATTGTTGTGATTCATCCGGCGAATGAAAGGCTCTTGTACAAAATGTGTTGAAAAATTGTACGAAATCTCAAGCGGAAAACGAAACCATTTCATACAACAAAATGTACGTGTCTACTATTAAATTATTATGCAACAAAATAAACCTATGACCTACCTATACAATATAACATATTTAGCTATTATTTATAATAATATTATACCGGGTAATCTATTCATCGAAAACATTTTTCCAAAAAATATATTTTCACTAACGGTTTTTATTTTTTAAACTTTTATTTAGCACCAACATTCATTTTTAATTCCTAAAAGCTAATATTTTTTGGAGTACTTTGATATATGCATAAAAGTCAAATTTCAGACGAGTAATACATTTATATGATTTATACGCGGCTATTTAAAGTTTAGATGTTTAGATGAATCGTCTAGTGGTACAACGGGGTATTCCATGTACCCCAGCTCCGATCGTCTAAACTTTGAACTTTAAACTTTAAATAATTGTAAGATTCATGCATGTCTGGAATTTGATTTATACATGTTTAAATACCAGGAATAATATTATGTTACAGAAAATGTAATTAAAAATGTATAGTGTCATTTAAAAGTGTTACAGGAGTTTATAATAGAGAATAGTTATACACCAAAAATATTTTTATAAAAATGTTGTTTTGTATAGTCTTAAAATTGTGTAAAAAAATATTTTTAAAAACATTATTGATTCCTATGTTAGTGTTGTCTAATAATGAGTGTGTTACGTTAAATGAACCACACGGTATAGGTACAATTACATGGTTTTATTGGTACAGTTCTATTGTGTAACGACAGAGGTTATTAATTATAATTATTGGCGGACGAGGAAAAACGATTGCGTAATGACTAGAGGTCGGATTTTTATGATTTTACATATTTGTTTCTAGTTTATGCAGTTAAATGGGAGTGAGAAATCTTTACGAATCATGAAACACAGAATTCACAGGAAAAAATTTATTTTGCATAAAAAAGCATATTTTAGAGGTTAGAGAATATTTAACACGTTAGAGAATATTTGGGAATATTTTTGTGATACCCGGCATATAATGAACATATTTCACGCATATCAGCATTTGATAAATACAATGTTCACTAAATGATTTATTTCCGGATTTTAATAAAAATTAATCTCCAGGTATTCCTTATCGATTGCGAAAGCACAACGGTTATTTCGTTAGCTGTCACGACTATACATCGAACAATATATAGTAATTAATTGTTATTGTAAAATTAATTTAATTAAATATTTTTAAAACCAAATTAATAAAAAATTAATTTAAACTGTTTTTTTTTTTTTATATCAAAAGAATATTTTGCATATTTAAGGACATAAAACATCATATATCTGGTATTTTAAAGGAATATTAAGAGAATATATTGCTTATTTTATGTGACATACAAACATCATATTTTAAGGATTTTAAAAGAATATAAATCCGACCTCTAGTAATGACAAATAATTATAACTGCTAACAATCGATTAGAATATTACCTATACAATATATTATTTACCTAGTGATGCACGTGCAGACGAAAGTTTATAATATTGTTCTACACAATAGTATTATACATCTGAACTTTGAAAACAATTGAGTGTGACTTGATTGAAACCGAAGAATTTACATTGTGTGCCACGTGGCTCCCACGCGCGCTCTGAGTCAAAATAATTATGATCTATCAGGTAGGTTAGGTTAATATTTTGAGCACTCAAAATTGCATTTTAAT